CTTAAAAGCTCTGTGTGCCCTTAACACTGTAGAGCAGAAGATGAAGCGCAGAGTCAAAAGTCTCAGGAAATCATCACCAAAAAATTGAAGAAAAGATGGATCTGGAATATGTTTTACTAATGAAAAATCTGTCTAATCACCAGCATCAGAAATGATAACTTTTAATAGAGAATGCCAGTTCTAAATACAAGAAAAGGATGAAGTTGTCTCATGTAACCATTTATCTCATATCAGAATCTCACAGATCTGACAGAGTGCCAATTTTCACACATCAAATAATGCAAGAATTCATTACTATATGACTTCACAGCCTCACAGCCCAAATGCCTTAGAGCTTACCTCATCAGTAGATTATACTACAGATTTTTCCCCATCATATGTAGTCACATCAATATTTTTGTATCTTTGATCATCATTATAGGATCCCAGGTCTGATTTTTCTACATCATCCAGCGCGGAAATTAAATTACTCTAAAACACGTCTCTTCTATATTTTAGATCTAATGATAATGCATGGATCAACAACTGAATTCAGTCTAGGGGCTAAAAATTTCCAGCCCACAATTATCCAGCCTATGAATAAATGTTGAGGGACTTTCACATGACAGAGTATCAAGTCTCACACTCACTCCTGTCTGTATTTTAACCCAAATCGGGTGGGCATACCATGTACGCACATGCCATGCCCACTGAGAGTTTTCTTTATTAATTGTTTTTACACATAGATGGCTACACTTGTACAAAGTCACTAATGAGCCAATTACGAGTAAGGCTTGTCTCGCCTATTTACCCTTTTCCTTGGTTTTAAAAAATATTTTACATTATCCTATGTTGTTGTTACTAATGTTGATAACATTATAGTAATTATAATGTCTGTAATAGAAATAACACTATCAATATTCATTACATTAGTAAAAAAAAAAAATTCCCATCAATTCAAGGAAAGGTGGAATTAGGTAAGGTTACAAGGTCTACTAAATGACTCCTTTGTGGCTAAGCACTTGCAGAGCCAACTATGTGCAGAGAGTTAATAAATAATATCACTTTCATCAAATAATTAAGATTCATTCTCTGTCTCCCCTATCTGCCTCTATTCCTTATGCTAAACACCAGTAACTTCCAATCCTTTGATCTCATAAGAAATGTAAACAAACACATACACACATGCACTCATTCATTCATTCTAACTATCTATCTATCTATCCACCTCAGACAGACACAGACAAAGGCAGGCAGACAGACAGACAGACAGACAGACAGACAGACAGACAGACAGACACACACACACCCACACACGCACGCACACACACACACACACACGCACACGCACACGCACACGCACACACACACGTACACGCACACACACACACTCACACTCTCTCTCTCTCTCTCACACACACACACACACACACACACACACACACACACACACACACACACACACACACACACACATACACATACACACACACACACACACACACACACACACACACACACACACACACACACACACACACACACACACACACATTCTTTAACATATGCAGGTACATCCTTATGAAGCAGTAAGGAAATTATCTAATTAAAATGTTGGTACACAAAGCAATGTGGAATTTCCTTGGTTAATAGTAGTGCAAGAAATGTTTTCTTTACATGTCATTATACTTAATCACCTCAATGAACTTTACATATATGAACC